AAAAAAAAAAGAGACAATCATACAAACATGCAAACCAACAACAACCTCCCTTTTGATGTACTCTCCATATACAAACAGGAAGTCTAAAAAAATAGATAAAATAACAGAAACAAAGCAAGTACAAAAAAGTTATTGAAAACAGAAAGAAAGAGAAAAAGACTAACAGACAAAAAATGAGGAAGACTAACAGACAAACAAACAAACAAACAAAAAACAAGGAACCAAGCTCACTCTGAGGTCATTTTTGTAAATTCAAACTTCCTTTCAGCTCTGATCTCCAGTCCCTCCCCTCTGCTCTCAGAGTAGGCTGATAGAGTTGCTCTCAGCTTGGGTCAGATGCCCTAGGACTACTGTGGAAGGAGGGTGGATCAGATCTGGACTCATCCGGCTTGCTGCCTGTCAAGTCTGCCACTCAGATCTGACCTGTCTGTGTTGATTTAGTGTGGGAGAGGGGTGTCTGTCTCTCCGAGTTTGATGAGATTACCTTAGGTACCAAGTTGGAGTCTGTGTGGAGCTGGGTAGGGCAATGCAGGTCTCTGCCTGGTCCTGGGACCGAGAAAATGACTGACCTCACTGGGGATGGGGCTCCTTTCTGGCTCTCCCCAATCTTCTTTCTCCACTGATCAGATCCGCGGTTCCAGTCAATTTGCTTGAACAGATGATGGTGTGAGCCAGGCACCAGGTGATGAGAATCTGCTGGATTTGGCAGGTTCTCCTCAGGATAGTCCTGTGAACAGCAGATGATCCTGCGCACCAGTGGCTCCAATCTCAAGGCAGTGGGATTGCAGTCACCTCCAGAGGAGAGCCCAGATGCATGAACCTGAGTGTTCCTTTAGATGGACTTTCACTCACCCCTGGCACACTCCTACTTATGCAGAGTCTTTATGGACACTTGCTTTTGCAGAGACTCTCAGAGTGCGACCTGTTCTGTCGCCATCTTGCTGGAAGTTCCCTGTAATGAATATTTTAAAATGCATTTCTCATCAGTTGATATGATAATGTGATTTTTCTTTTTCTGCTTATGGATGTAGTGTATTACATTGAATGACTTTCAAATATTGAATCAGTTTTGATCAGTCTCACATCCCTGGAATAGGGATTACACTTGGTCATGGTGTGTAATTCTTTTTTCATGTAGCTGATTTTGTTTTCTAATACTTTGTTAAGGATTTTACACCTATATTTTTGAGGAGTATTGGTATGTAGCTTTCTTTTATGTGCTTATTTATTGATTTATTTTGAGTTGGAGTCTCACCCTGTCACTCATGCTAGGATGCAGTGGCTCACTGCAGTCTCAAACTCCTGGGCTCAGGTGATCCTCTCACTTCAGCCTCCCAAGTAGTAGCTGAGACCACAAATGCATACCATCACACTGGCTAATTTTTTGATATTTTGTAGAGATGAGGTCTTGCTATGCTGCCTAGGCTGGTCTCAAACTCCTGGTCTTAAGCAGTCCTCCCACCTTGGCCTTTCAAAGTGCTGGGATTACAGGAGTGAGCAACCACATTCAGTCTTTTTGGGTGCTTTTTATGGTTTTGGTATCAAGCTATTACTAGCTTCATAAAATAAATGGAGAAGTCTTCTTTCTTCTTTTCTTTTCTGAAAGAGATTGTGTAGATTTCATTTTAATTCTTTTTAAAAAATGTTTGGCTGATTTCTCCAGTAAATCCATGTGGTCATGGAGGTATTTGGGGGAGATTTTAACAATTACAAATTCAATTTTCTTTGCAGTTGTAGGGTTATGCAATTTATCTACTTCATATTGGGTGAGTTTTGGTAGTCTGCATTTTTTGAGGAACTGATCCATTTCATTTAAGTTGTCAAATTCATGTGTGTAGAGTGGTTTGTGGGATTCCCTTGTTATCTTTTTCATGGCTGCAGGGTTTGTAGTGATATTGTCTCTTCTTTCTTGATATTGTTAATTTCCTGGAAGTGGAAGCCTTCCTAGTTTGCTTTTAATATGTTTTTTTATATTATACAAGTTATATACTGGTGCATTCTTATTATAAAATTCTAGAAGAATTAGAGCATGAAGTATAAGAGTAAAATCTCCTTTCACTGTCTTTTCCATCTGTACCCAGAGGTAATGAGTGTTAACAGTTTGGGTGATGTTTTAACATGTAATTCCTCAGTTAAAAACTCTCCAAGCTTCACATGTCACTCAGTAAAAGCCAAAGTCTTGACAATATCCTATAGGACTTTCTATGATCTGGCTTTTCATAATTTATTTGATCTCATATTTTACAACTCTCCTCCTTGGCCCTTGGTTTTGGTCACACTGTCCTCCTTTTTTTTGATATTTAACCAGGCCAAGCACCCACTGAGACAAGACTCTAGCCTCTATCTTCTGGAAGATATTACATTGGCTATAAAGCTCTTACTGCACTCAGATCTTTGCTAAACAGGTCCGTTTTAGTAAAGACTTCCATGACCTCCTGTTTAACATAGAAATGCTCCTGTTTCCTATTGTCTCAAATTCAGTTTCTTGTTTTATATTTTCTGCATGGTAGTTATCAATATCTAACCTTCTTCATATTTTACTCGTTTTAAAAGTTGTCTATCTTCTAGAATGAAGTTCCTTGAGAGAAAATATTTTTATTTGTTTTGTCCATAAGTGTTCACTTATAGGGTCTAGAATGCCTGGCAAACAGTAGGGATTCAATAAATGTCTATAGAATAAATAATAAATGAGGGAAGGAAGTGTGTCCAACTTAGCTTTGACTTCTTGTGTCAAATTCCATTGGTCCTGGCTTAGAGAACCTGATCTGGTGTCACTGGATTTATTTGTCCTTTCTGGAGATATGTTTAATTCTTTCAGAAATTCAGGATCTGAGAAAGATGGCTTAAGAACCATTCTACTTGGAATGGTAGAATTAGAACTCCTAATAAAATTTTAACTTCTAATGAAGTAATAGTCATTAATGGTTGCTAATGCTATTTGTTAAAAGGCTGATGGGGATATTATGATGGGGCAATCAAGCTCACAGCACCTGAACCCACGAATAAGTCTTAATATTATAAAAATAAGACAACTTTATACGCTTTCTGTTGTGATCCAAATGGAGGTACACAGCATTACCTATAAAATAATCTTACAAAACAAGTAGTTGAATCTAAGTCTTGTCAATTCTCCAGATCGATTTACCTGTTTAAAAGTCAATACAATGAATAGGGAAACATCTTAAATGACATCACAAGAATACAATCAACCTTTTCCAAACTGCAGAAAATTCTACAGGATAAATTACTCAATTTTCTCAACAAATAAATATCATAAAAAGGAAGGGAGAACTGTTGTAGACTAAAATATACTCTGACCAATTGCAATGTGTGGACATTGTTTGGATTTTGATGTCAACAGTACAGTTATAAAGATATTATAACCATATTTGGAGGAAATTGAGTATGACTTGGTTATTAAATGATATAAAAATTATGGCTAAATTTGTTTGGTAAGGTAATACTATTTCCATTATGTTTAAAAAATTCTTATCTTTGGAGATATGTACTGCTGCATTTAAGAAGAAATGACACAATGTCTGGAATCTGCTTCAAAACATAGCAAATCACCCACTCTTTTCCCCAAACACCCAAATTAAAAGAAGTGATCAAAAGACTAAATGTGTGTGTATGTGAGGGGTGGATGTATGTAACAAGAATGGCGGAATATTGATACTTGCTGAAGCTGGGTAAATGGCACATGAAGCTGTATTCCCCCTTCTACAAGTCTCTGTACTTTGTATATGTTTCAAAATTTTTACCATAAAATGTTTTTTAAAAAAGTGCTCTTTGCACCTTATTTTTAAGGGATTCTTTAGGAAACTGGAAGATCTAATCTCGTTGATCAATTTTTACAAGGCTTCATTTGTCCTTTGTTAATTTTCCTTCTGGTTGAGGACTTTAAGACATTGTGCAGGACCCTTTTAAGTATGGGCCCATTGACTATTTCAAAAGTCAGCAGTGACTTTGGGGAGTCTACTTCATACTTGTACACCAATATTCCCACTGAATTGGGGCCACTGCATCAAAATGAGGTGTCTCTAATTTTAGATTAGACCCAGGAAGATTCAGATGGTTGCCGTTTATAACTGGTATAAATTTCAGGCCGTGAGAGGAGATGTGCAAGAAATAGTATGAAATTTTAAAAATATATCTCCACTTAATTTATAATTTAAGCCTTGGTCCTGCTGTTGTCCTGTTTGGATTTCTACCTGTCCCTATTTGGAAATCATACATGACTAAGGTTTTGAGGGTAAAATGAGAGCACACATATATGGTTTAAAAGTCCATCAGCTTGATAGCCATGGCTCCTTTAGGTGTGGTGGCTCCTGTGCCATGTGTGGGACAGGCTGCTATGATTCTGCTTGTGTGCACAATACAGTCATCTCCTTTTAGAGTTCTTGCTACATCTTCCTCTCTAGGGACATTTCAGAGGGCCCCTCTCCTCCTTGGTCCACAGGCCTTTCCCCCTAATCCAATCAGCACTTCTGTAGTAGGAAGAGAAGGAGGCACCTGATATTAAAAATCCTGTTTCCATTATGTTCCTGCTCAAATTTCCTCTTTCTTATGGAGTTTGTAGTTTTAGAAATAAAAGACAAGATGATCAACGTGCTACCGCTGCTTTCAGCCCTGTCATACCACTCCTCTGAGCAATGAGCACAGAGTTTGCTACCTGTTTGAAATAAAGGGACAAAATAAAAAAAATTAAACAGAAACATGTTAACATCTCAAAGTATTTTGCTACATTTAAAATGTGAGAGAGTTGAATTTGTTAGAGAGGTTTCATTGGGAATAAGGAATTGTTCTTGAACATGAGGTCCACAGAATACTCTGATGTCATCGCTGAGGTCAGAGATGATATACCTGGTGACCTTTGAACCTTAACAGCCCTGCAGTGTAGTAAGCCCTGGGCAGTACTGCTGGTTCACTAAGTGGTCTGAGTTGGTTATATATTTATTTATTTATTCATTTAGGAGACTCTGCTACTTTTATTTGTATTGAACCATTTTAAAGGATTTCCTGAGATCCAAGAAAAGCCAACCTATAGGGAAAAGGGAGAGGTGGACATTAAACATCTTCTAAGGACTCTTCTAGCTGATACTATGAGATGATGACAAAAGAGAAAACATCTGGAAAGTGAAGAGTCCCAGGAAACCTCTGAGATGGAACGAGGTAAGTACTGGGTAACTTGTCTGGGGCGCAACATTTGCCAGCCAGTCTGAACCTTCTTTAGGAGGGAGGGATTGGGGAGAATGTGCCACCTATGAAGAGTGAGTGAGAGACTGGGCATCGGCTGACGTTGCCATATCCATCTTGTAGGTGCCAGGACTCTGAGATGACATAGAAAGTCTGGATGCCCCTCCAGATGGAAAACCAGCCCTGTTGATCCGAGAACTGTCTCCCTGGGGCTGCTGGTACTACTTATAAAGATCCAGTGATGCAGCTTTGCCAAATCTCCTCATTCTTTTTATTCGCATTATCTGCTCTTTTCCTGGGGCCACTGAATGAGAGGTGTGATGGAAATATATGAGTTACATTGCACCTTTTAGCAAAAAGGAAAGAGTAACCCAATGAATTAAAGGCCTTGTGAAAAATATCTTGAGATGTGAAATGATTGTTAAGAAGCTGATTATATGTTTGTCTAGGGATGGTGTCATACTGAAACCATGGAGATTTCATTTCTTCTGCGAGAAGAATCTACCAATTGATCCCTTAGAGTTTGTGAATCCACTGGTGTGGGGCTTTCCAGAGAAAATGAGGGGCAGGGGGAGGACCTTACAGAGACTGAGGACATGTTGGATGGGGGTGAGAAATATTGTCAGGACTCCTGGGGAAAGCAGAGCGCTGTTAATTTACTCTTCAGACCATGTGATAACTATATGCATTAAATGTAGACAAGTAGCTTGTCTTGAAATGGGGAGGGGGGAGTCACATGTTGGAGGAGGTGCAGAATGGAGGCCACCCCAGAAATCTAGCTGGAGGAATCTGCTTGAATTAGAGCCCAGCAGCTTCCATGAGGCCCAAGGTTGTGAAGATGAAGACTGTAGCATGAGCCCTGGGAATGGTGGCCTGGTGAGTAGGCAGGTTTCTAGAGAGGGAGCTGGGACAAGAAGGAGAAGGCAATGGTTTTCCTTTTTTGCACCTACCTTTACAATTCAGAATGTTCTTTCTCTCTTTCTCTTTCTCTCTCTCTCTCTCTCTCTCACTCTCTGTGTATGTATGTGCTTATGTGTGGAGGGGAAGCAGTGGGATGAAGTTTCTATAACAATGCCTTGATCTGGACGACACTCAAAACATGTAACAGTATATGCAGAATTCTTGTTATGTGTATTCCACGACAGTCACCTCCTTATGTCCATAGATACTCTGATACAGAAAAAAGTCACACAGCCCGACCCACAGTGCATATTGTTATATGCACATTCCATTCCTCTATTACTTGCGCACACACTCATGTGTGTGACAGTCCTCTCTTCCCACACCAAACTCTGGGAATTTCGTGTGTGTGTGTCTGTTCAAGTCTCATATAACACAGCTACCTTGAATTATCTCTAAGTACCTCTATAAGAAGCAGTCACATGTCACACATGCCACATCTGTAACGCTTTGTGTAGCAATGCCAGGCCCACTTTGCACTGATCAAACAAAACAAAGATTCACCAGTGCTCTCTTATTGGAGTTGCCAGATAAAATACAGGATGTCTAGTTAAACTTGAATTTCTGATAAACTACAAATGAGTTTTCAGTGTGAGTATGTCCCAGATATCATATAAAACATATTTGAATTAAAGTAAGTGTGACTCAAATACTGCACAGGGCATACTTACACTAAAAATTATTTGTGATTTATCTGAAATTCAAATTTAACTGAGTATCAGATATTTTTGTTTGCTAAATCTGGTGATCTTTTATACTCATCACAAGCTGACTTATGTATTTCTGTTTAGAGGATGTGTTTCCCTACTAGAATGAAAAGTCCAATTATAAGGGTTTTTTTTTTTTTGGTTCAGTATTCCCAGAGCCTAGAATAGTGGAATTGTACCTGATACATAGTAACTATTCATGAAATATTGTCAAATGAATGAGTACACCTCATAAATACAAGTCACATCATATAAAAAGGAAAAGTTACATATTGCATAATTCCTGAACTGTGGATACAAACCATACACATAAACTCTCCACAGCCACAGGCACACATTTCTACTATATTCATGACAGTGACTTCACACTTATGAAAGGCTACTTGACGCACATCATTCTTACACTTCAGACATATTTGCAGTCACCACACAAGCCTACATTCCTAACAAGACACTAAGAAAATAACTAATTAAGTACTGGAGTGTCCACCTGGGGCCAGACTATAAACCATGTGTATTCAGCATACCTGACATATGTCAGACACTCAGTAAATATTTGTTTGATGGATAAATGATGAACAAACATGCCCAACCCTCCATATCTCTGTGTCTTTCATACCTTTTTCAGGATTCTTAAAGTCACAGGAGGATGTCCTGCAGCCTGCGTTCACTGAAGTGGCTAAAGGCTGGTTGTCTTCTACCTCCGAATATTTCTCTTGCATCTCATCTTCACAGAAGCTCATCCATGGTGGTAAGGGTGTAGGGTTCCTTGGGTGTAAGACTCCTTGAGTTTGGGGTTCCTTGGGTTGAGACTCTGTGAGTTTTAAACTTTGGGTTTGGGGAATCCTTGTGTGTAAGACTCCTTAGGTACTGGGCTCCTTGGGTATGAGACTCCTTAAGTGAGAGTCTTTGGGTGTCAAGCTCCTTGGGTGTGGGATCTTTGGGTGTGAGAGTCTTTGGGTTTGGGGCTCCCCGGGCGTGAGATTCCTTTGGTCTGAAGGTCCTTCAGTGAGACTCCTTGGGTCTGAAGCACTCTTTGGGTGTTAAGCTCTTTGGGTGTGAGACTAGGTTTCGGACTCCTTGAGTGTGAGACTTCTTTGGTGCTAGCCTCCTTGGATGTAAGACTCCTTGGGTGTGAAGTTTCCTGGGTGTGAGACTGTGTGTTAAAATGAGTGTGAGACTCTGTGGGTGTGGGTCTCCTTGAGTAGTAGGGGTCTTTGGAGGACTCTTTGGAAGAGCCCAGGCAGGGCGACAGAGCTTTTAGGGGAGTGCAGATATAAGCTCAGTTTGGGATAGGGTGAGCACTGGTATGATTGTGGCAGAGATTCTGGGAGCAGGGATCAGAAATATCTGGACTTAGGGTCTAGGGCCAGGGGACCAGATTAAGGACCTTTGTGGGAATTATATGACTTCTGCCTTGGTCTTTGCCTTCCAGAAAAGGATAGAGTTCCTCAGCACAGGCCTCCAGCTGTAGCACCTATCTCAAGCCCACACACCTCACACATACAGTCATACTCTACACAGAAGCATTCTCAGCATACACACATTACTCAAATGTATGGCCTGCAATATCATTTTCCAACACTACCTCCCACAGCCCACAAATAACACGCCAATGATGTCACAAACTCATATTTTCATAGTGCATACATGCCACCAACACTCCACACATGCAGCCCTCACCATCACACTTCTCACCCCTCTGTACAGACCTCAACATCCTCATACACAAAATGAAACCAGATTCAGTATACCTCCTAATATGAACAAATACCAACCTCACCACACAGCTGTGCCCTTTCTCCTACAGCACATGTATTCAACTTACATTACTTTAGCTTTGGCAGGCCTTATGCACATTTTCGTGTTTCTAATTTTCTTTCCCGGGAACCCGGAGATCACATCAAGATAGTCTTTAGCCTAGATCTTCCCTAGCCCAGGTTCAGGAACAGAGGGAGACTCCTCCTCCCTCACAACATGTCTCCTTGTCATCCCATCCATCCCATAAGACCTGTGTGTCCTCTCTGTGTGCGAACAAAGAGGAAAGGGGCATGAAAATATACTACATGCTGGCACAAATGAAAAAGGCATGGTTGTCTCCTGGGAGACAGAGAAAACCTCAGCGTCACTAGAAAAGCAGCCGAGGATGGAAGAAGTGACCCTACCTGAGAAAGTGAGGGCAAGGGTGGGTACTCTCTCCTCTGGTGCATCCACCAGAAACCTACATTCTGACGGTGATCCCAGTGGGGAGGAGAGAGAACTTGAGGAAAAGGCCGAGTCAGAGAGCCCATCACGGTCACCTGCCTATGAGGAGAGACCGAGGGCCGAGATACCTGACTGGCTTGTTGCCATGAAGAAAGGCTTCAGATGCATGGTCTGCTGCCGGGTGTTTGCCCCCTTGGAGACCCTCCAGGAGCACATTCAGTACGGGATCAGGGAGGGCTTCAGCTGCCACGCCTTTCATCTTACTATGGCTCAGCTGACAGGGAATGTGGAGCCAGAGATCACCCAAAAGAAGGAGGAGGAAGAGAAACAAGAAGAAAAGATGAATGAGGAGGAGCAGCCTGCAGGGGAAGACCTTGGCCTGAGGAGATCCTGGAGCCAATGTCCAGGCTGTGTGTTTCATTCTCCAAAGGACAGAAAGTAAGCAAGGGTTGGGTCTGCTGAGGGAGTAGTGCCTTTTCTGAGCCAGTACTGTCTCTCCAATTCAGGCTTAGGCCTCCACAAGGTAGAGTTGGGGGCTTTATCCGCCCAGGGAACATTGGAAGAGGGGATAACTGGGTTTCCTGCTTCTTGACCAGGCATCTAATATAAAGTCATGATTGTAAGTGGGGATTTCTCCTGAGCTTTTTAGCTACTGCAGGAAGCTCTGAGAATCTTGAAGGGCCAGCAGAGGTCCTTTTCTCATTAACTAAGAAGTGTTTTGCTCTGTTCTGGTTTTCATGCAGTAACTGAAATTCATGGGCCAGGACATCCTGGGAGATGGTGTGGCTTTCTCTTGGGAGAGGTAAGGCCTGAGGCTTGCACAGTTTTCTGAGCCAACATTGCAAGGACCCAGAGGAATCCAGTGGAAAGGACTGCAGGGATGTGTGGGCTGCATGGTGGCTCTGCAACTACATCATCTTGCACGGTACCCAGTGCTTCTGGGAGAATTGGCATCCATTTGCTTAAAAGAGAATGTGGAGAGTTTTGACTGGGAGCTTTCTTAATATCTCCATGACTGTCTTTAATTCTAAGGAAATATTGCAGCCCTTCTTGGCAGAGCTCAGCATAACTTCAGGGGCCAGGGCTGGCTTGAAGAGAAGATGGGGGGGGGCCCAGAAAGACCAGAGATTTGGGGTCTGAGAGCCTTTAACCTGAGCTAAGATCTCACCTTGGCTCATGAACATAGCCGTCTAGGGAAAGGGGAGTTTGGAGAGAGCGCATCATGGAGTTCCAAGAGAGGTGGAAATGTTCCAGAACCTTCATTTTGCTGCAGTTGATCTGGACACAAATTCACTGTAGTGTGAATGGCTCCAACCTATAGGAGAAAGGAGAAGGTTCTAGCAGAGCTCATGTTGTCTCTTCCTATCTTGCCTCATTTGTTTTCTTACAGGGAGAAGAAAGGGCCATGGAGATAGTAGCAGAAGCCAATAGTGTAAAGAAAGACAAGAAACCAGCACTCAGTCTAAGACATAACATCATCTGCAATAAAGGCTTTCTTTCAAACCTTGCCTGGATATGTTATTTAACTAACAGATTAATCTACCTATCCACTCATCTCCTATATTGGTCTCTGTAGTGCTTTGTGAATGAGATATCATATCAGCACTAAAGATACCTACCAACCTTTTCCAGAGGCAGCAATACCCGAGCTCCTGGGATTGATTAAGCTTCTCTGTAAACATTTTTTCAAGGCTGGGTACCGCATTTCACATGAGACCATGACAAACTCCACCGAGTTCAAATGAAGCAATTAGGGAGTGGTAGTCTCTGTAAAACCATGTCCGTTGGTTTATGGTTGCAAACATTCAGCAGGATTTGGCTGGAGAAAAGTATCAGAGGCCCAGATGGTGATCTTCATGTCTCCCCAGACTGGGCTGGAAGAGTGATTGATAGTTGTGGTTTCAGAAAGACACAACAGAACAGAAGGAAAAGTTTCTAGTCTTGGAGCTGTCCATGGGACAGTTTCCTCCTGAGATGGCAAGACTCCATTATAGTGCTCAAAAAAGGCCAGATAACCATGGTCAAGAGTTCGGGAAAGAAATTGCTGTATTAGTAGTTTGAGTCAATGAGCTCTGATATTTCCAATCGTGATGTTAATATTTCAGTTTTAAAATAAACTTCTATTCTGGCCTTTCAATGTTTGGCCCTGTCATTTCTGAACTTCATACTCATACCACTGCTGCCACCCACTGAAATTAAAGGTCTCTAAGAGGCACTGATTTTGATGTATGAGGTTGTCCAGGGTGTTTTAAAGTTGACAGGAGAATAATATATCTTTCTAATTTGAATGGGTGCAAAGCCAGGCCTTAGAGGACTGATGGAATTAGAAGGAAATAATTTGAAGTTCAGAGATTTTATTAATTTAAAATAATATTTAATTCCGAAGTCCTATGGATTTTTTGAGATCCTATAAGTGATCTTTCGTGGGGCTTTGCTGAATCAATAATGATCCCAGTGATTTGATGTTTAATAATAAACCAGCTTCCTAACTGGTTTCATACTTCTCAGTATCTCCATCTGGGATATAATCTGCACATCATATCTCTTTACTCAGGATCCCTAGTGCTTCCTGTAAACTGTTATCTCAAATAATTCAGAATTTGAGGCTCATCCTTCTGTACTCATAATGGATCCTCGGGGATTCCACTTACTCTCCATAAAACCACTGTTCACTCTGCTGTCTTCACTTTTGTTGTTACTAACCTGCTGTTGAGTCTACCAGGAATGGGATTAGCCCTTTCCTCCTATTCTCCTAGGTCTCACATCTCTTCTCCTTTTCTTGGAATGCTTTTTGACTTCTCTTTCACTGACAGCCTCAAACACCTACTTTTATTAAGTAAAAGTACCAATTACATTGGTAGGGTATTACTTAATAAAAGTGAGAATTTCCATTGCTGCTCCTGCTGGGTTGGAGACTTCCCTGTAAAGAACTAAGGGAGTAACAGGATTGCCTACAAGTAGGATTCAGAGTTTTGCAGGAAGCTGTTTTTGATGTGTGCCCATATTCTCCTAAGACTGCATTGACAAGATTCTTGCCTACCTTGAAGTGGAAAACAGGCCTGTGACTTGAATGATTTTTTGACTGAGACGGACACCCACACGAATCACACCAAATCCTCTCTGTGGTGCCACTGACAAATTTTAAATAAGACTGAATTCCTACTCAGAGTATGGAAACCTAAAAGCTATACTTGAGCTCATCTTTTCACTTAAACCATTGGTAGGATTTCAACAGAGTAGATGCAACTAATTCTCCCTCTCTGAAAAACCACTTAAATGAACTAGAACAGTAAATGAGAATAGATAGGTCATTTTTGATATTCTTTTTATTTTCTTTATTTTAAAGATGTGGGTACAATTCAGGGTTAGGTATACAATATTCATTATGCAGGTACCCTTGCTGATGAGGTGTGCCCCCCTTCCCTGGAAGTTTCCCTCAACTGTCAATCCCAACCCCCCATCCCCTGACAGTTTCCCACTACTGCCAATTCCTTTCTTATGGTATTATGATAATTATTCAAGGTCCACTTATGAGTGAGAAATACCGTACTCTGTTCTTTGTTTCTGTGATAGATCATTGAGTATGATAAACTCTAAATCCATCCAAGTTGCTGAGAAGCTCATATGTTTGTCCTTCTTTATGGCTGCATAATATTCCATTGTATATATGTACCACATTTAAAAAATTCAGTCCAGCTTCGATTGACAGCGATTGCTGGGTCATATGGAAGGTCAATTTTTAGTTCTTCCAGAAATTGCCACACTGTCTTCCAGAGAGGCTGCACTAGTTTGCATTCCCACTAGCAGTATAGAAGCGTTTCTTTTTCTCAGCATCCTCGTCAGCATCTGTTATTGTTTGTTTTATTAATGATGACCATTCTTATTGGGGTTAGGGAGTGGTTCTGATTTGCATTCTCTGATGATGAGTGAGGCTGAGCACTTTTTCATGTGTCTGCTGGTTGCCCATATATCTTATTTTGAGAAGTGTCTATTTATGTCTTTTGCCCACTTTTTTAAAAAAAAATTGGATTCTCACTCCGTTGCCCAGACTGGAGTGCAGTAGTGGCATGCTTATGGCCACCCCAGCATCGATCTGTTGGGCCTCTGCGATCCTTCTGCCTCAGTCTTCCAAGTAGTCAGAACTACATACATGCGCTAACATGCCCAGTTATTTTTTATTTTATTGTAGAGATGAGGTCTTGCCAAGTTGCCTGGACTGAGCTCAAACCTGTGGGCTCGGGCAATCCACTTGCCCGGGCCTTCCAAAGTGCTGGGATTATAAGCTGAGCCACCGGGCCTGGCCTTGCCCACTTTTTAATGGGGCTGTTTGTTTTTTTCCTTTCAGCACATTTGAGTTCTTTGTAGTTCCTAGATTTTAGGCCTTTGTCAGATATACAGTTGGCAAATATTTTCCCCCATTTTGTGGGCTGTCTCCCTGCTCTCTTGATGGTTTCTTTTGCTTTGAAGAAGCTTGTCAGTTTGATGAGGTCCCACCTGTCTAGATTGGGCATTTTTTACAAATAAAGAATGGCCATAATCCATGCCACACAGACTAACTGGGAGGTACAACCAAGTGTGACCTTCCTGACATAACTTTTGAGGAGGCAGGGGTCCTGTTCACTGGTCACCTGCCCACATAGATCTCACTGAGAAGCCCATTGTTTCTGTCTACATGATCTTTTCTGCTTCAGTGGTTCCCCCTCTTACATAACCCCACGAGTCGTGAGTCATGGGAATGTTAAGTGAGAACACTAGTACCTGGTCAGTGGGGTTGGCTGGTTCCCTGACTCACTGGCAGGGAAAAGAGCACACACCCTTGCTGCTCTACCTTCTCTTTCTCTCTCTTTTTCTGTGTGAGTCCTTTCTAGTTTTTTGAGTCTGGTATTTTCTGATTCCTAATTTTCCAAGTCACTCTATCTTATACCTCACACACTATCTACTTTTTTCTCACTGAGGCAGAGAAAGAAAGTTTCCCATATTATCAGGATATTTGACTGAACCTCCCTCAGCAGGTAAAAGCATTGTATTTTACCCTCCAATTTCATTAAGAATAGATGAACAAGGGTGTCTGAACGAAGCATATTTGTACACCTAACCCTTAACTGTACCCCACAGTATCATAATAAAAATATTGATTATAAAGAAAAAAAGAAAGTAATCTCACAAGTAAAATATGCATCAAAGGAGACTGGAGAATAAATTATAGAAATATCCAATGTAGTGTCAAATTCTCATTTTGGTCAGATGTTTTCTTTTAAAAACTACAGCTATACATACGCATAGAAATATTTAGTAGTGCAGAGTACATGTTTGAATCAAATTAAAACTTTTATATTAGAATATATTTATATTTTAATTATAGAGTATTTTTTAAATATGTAAAATCATAAATGATAAAATGACCCAACTCTAACACTTAAATAGATTACACTGTGGAAAGTC